TAAAAGACATGTAGACATGGTGCTTAGGGACATGGTATAGTGGTGAACTTGGCAGTGCTAGGTTAACGGTTGGACTTGATGATCTTAAAGGTTTTTTTCCAACCTAAACTATTCTATGATTCTATGATTCTTAGATTTAAAAAGTTGTCTTGGCCTCCCAGCACAAGATGAGCTGTTCTCACTTGTTATTAAATTTAGCATGACTGCACAGAAACAGAAAGGAAAAAAGAAGAAAAACCTTGACTCTTCAATTCCATAAATAGTTAATTGTTAACTGCATAATATCTTACTTGAGATATTACTAATATCTTACTTACTATGAGATTATATTGGACAGACATTCTTTTTTATTACAACTGCTGTGATATTATTAGAGACAGGAAAAAATAATGGAAAAAAAATCTGCAAATAAATGTGGTCCTCAGAGAAATAAAACCTTCTGAGATTTTTCTTCCTCTTATGAAACACTTAAGCCTGCCATCAGACTCTAACAAGGAGTGTATCTGGGAAAATAAATCAATGGCAATGTTTCATAAAAAAAAAAAATGGAGCTCAGATGCTCTTTAAAGGTTTTGTGGTTCTGTATTGGTTGTGTTAATGCAGTTCATTCTCTGTAGATGATATAACTGCACATGCTAATGCTTCCTGCATTAGTAAATGAATTCCCTTTTCTCTTATGGCAAAGCAAGTCTCTGGTGAGAAACTGAATTCATGATGAGATATAGGTCAATATCTCCCATCTAACTAGGGCAATCCTCCCACCAGCCTGGAGAGAATGTGGGTGGTAATGAGAAGGGCGCAGATATTAGCAGAGATTAAAATAAATGAAATGAGCTCTGCTTGTCGGCAAAAGTATCAGTTATTCTAGTCTTGCAGACCTGATGCTTAAATGAGTAATAGGAACATCTCTGATGACACAGGATAAAATGGGAAGTGGAGAACCAAAAAAGTCATCAGCTTTTCTGCTTCGGCACACAATTCATACTATGCCTACGAGCGTTAGACAGAAAGAAACCTTCCTTTAAGTGAGGATGCCCATTTCCTGACTTGCTTGTGGCCTTCTGGCTCTCCCAGAATGGACAGTTTCAAA